TTAAGATTAGGGATACAGCATAGGTCAAATAATTTCCAGAAATATTATGAACAGTTTATACATAAACTTTTGCATTAAAGACATTATAAGGTATTTCTCCCTCCTTCTTAGCATGCATTCGTGGTGTAGTGGTCAGCACGCTCAGTGCGTATTCGAGAGGTCCATGGTTCGAGTCCCGGCGAGGGCATTGCTGATTTTTTACCACTCCTGCTTAAAGAAGAAAAATCTCTTAAATGACTCTTAAACATTATAAAAAATTTTCATAATAGTTAATAAACAAACTTTTGCATTTTCCTAATTAAAATGCTAAGGAAATACCCATTTTTATATTTCTCAATATTTTTATATTAAATTAGTTACATTCCATTGCTGTTTAGAAGGACTTTTTCTCATCATTTATTGTTCTGAAAACCAATTTTGATTAGACATGGACAAACATGATCAAATTAAGGTGTGGCTATGACATTTGATAACATTAACTGACTTGTTGATCACAGTAAGTGATGTATTTTCCCTGTTTACATATACAGATGGACATATACAGGACTTTGGCAATTCGATAACCATATCCAAACGATAACATTCATTGCGATCATATTAAGCAGCCCCTACTATACTAACAAGGCATGAAGTTGAGTAATTGCCAAAGCAGTACAAAATATCATCAATTTTTAAAACCTTTTTTGTAAAAGAAAAATTAAAATTGTGTTAACATTTCAGTCACAAAAATTTTGAGTTTTGAGTTTTTAAAATAAATAATGTTAATCAGGGATTTTTCTTACACTTTTTTTTAAATTTTTATTTATAAACATTACTTATTATACTTACTGATACTTGAATGCAAAATTCTAAGAAAAATATTTGGCGCTGTTTGTGAAAATTGTGTTTGGAGATTAATGTATAATTATGAAATTTACCAAAACTTTAGACAGCCTGATATTGTCAAGGTCATAAAAAGCCACAGGATTCGATGGTTGGATCATTTATACAGAACTGAAGACAGTGAAGGCTTGATTGCTGTATACGATGACATTAATATCATAAGGGAAGACTGGATGCCATGAATAGATCCAGATGGCATAGACAGATTGCGATGGCCTTGGCCAGCAGTAGGCCTATAGTGCCTCAGAAGAAGAAGTTATTATACTAGTTATAACTAATGTTTATAAATTAAAAAAACAGTGTTATAAACTTTAGTTATTGTTCATTTTATAAGTGTTATAAACATTAATTTTAAATGTGTATGAATAATAACTAATGTTTATAACACTGTTTTTTAATTTATAACTAATGTTTATATATTAAAAAATAGTGTTTTAAACATTAGTTATTATACTAATTACTGAAATATGACAATATTAAACAGCATACTATTTAACCAAGAATTTTCTTTGAGTTTTTCAAAGAACATCCCATCTTGTTTCTCTCTCCCATATGTCACTCTAAATAAATAAAAATAAATTTTTTTAATAAAATAGCTCGCTATACGATTGCAATGGTTTTTAAAACTTTTTACAAGTAGAAATGATATTTTTACTTTAAAACATTTGATAACATCTTATAATGCTTTCTGTCATATGTCACACACTGGTGGTCAAGCAGTTAAGTCACAAGTAGTTTGACCTGGGTTCGATTTCAAGCAAATTGGCTGGCTGCTTGGACCTTTTCTACATGTGTAACATGTATATGAGCCAGGTTTTCCTTAGAAAGTTCTACACGAGGGCATCCTTCCCTTAGATATACAGCCCTTATGTACTTTGCTATAATCAAAATAAACCTTATCAAATCTGTCGTATGTCATCTTATGGAAAATCACAACCTGAAAACATGAGAACAATATAAAGTCTTTGAAATAACTTTTTGAAAATAAACTATTAATATTTTCATTTTTTTATCTTTAATTTAACAGAACTTTAACAGAAAACAAACAATGTTTCAAAAATTCTGATTGATGTTTTATTTTATTCTTCAGTCCCCCTCATCCAGCTCTTTTTAACATTTTTGAAGTCCACCATAATGAACAGGCATTTCCTAGAGAAGGCAAGTTTAGAAAAGCAGCTTATAAAATTTTATTTCTTCTCTTTTAATAAAATAAAAATCATAATAATACTGTGCATAGGAACAAGGCAATTGGTACAAAGATCTAATTATACACTCTTTCGATTATACTTCAAAAAAAAAAAAAAAAAAAAAGTATTTTACAGCCAGAAACAATTTATAGAAAGTTGTACAAGTGCGGTGTCAGTATATAAAACTGCATGCATAATGTTTTCATGTTTTAAAATAATGAAAATATTTCAAATGATTTATACGTTTTATATCATCTGCTGGGTTCTGGTCAAATAGGTACTTCTTGATTTAATAAACAACAAAGAAATACTACGGCAAGGAAACAACAGGGAAAGAATTAGGACTTGCTTAATTTACGTTAATGCAATGTTAAGGAGACTGATACTATTTGAATGAGTTTTCTATAATAACTGAGCAAATAATCTACGAAACTTAATTGGTGACATTATTTATTTACAACTCGTACAAAAGCGATATCTTTGTAAAACTTTTACTGCCCTTCAATTATTGCAGCAAAATGCAAATATGAACAGGAATGGCGACAATAATAAACAGCAATACACAAACATTGACGGGCCAAAACATCATGACTATCCCCACATTTTTTTTAAATGAACAAACTGTACTGGAGTGGTTCATGGAGCATAAGGATGAATTCCAAGCAATGTTTTAGCCATCTAACTCACCGAATAACCTGATGGAGCACATTTAGAATGTCATGGAGTGGCAGCATCACCATATCAGAATATCTTGACTTTGCATGACCACTGCTTAGACATTTGGTACAACCTATTTCCAGTTATCTACCAAAAACTTGTGGCATCCATACTGAGTTGCAGCTATTTTGCAGGCAAAAGGTCATGTAATGTGTTATTGAGTAGGTGGTTATAATGTTTTGGTTCTTCAGTGCATTTGTGAGGATAAACAGGGAAAATCTGCTTGGACACTGAAGTTAAGTAAAATACTGCATTTCTGTTTAGGCTGAGAAACAGTCTTTTACAGTTAGCTTCCTGCTGAGGGTTGTAGTTTGCAAGGTTTTTAATGACAGAGCTTTCAGTTCAGTAGAAACTGCAGTACACTCCTCAAGATGTAAAAGTCAATACAACAACCTTCAAATTCTTTAAAATCATTTGACAAACTTGCGAATTAACAAAATTTTGAAATTATAATTAGTCATAACTATTAATATTCTTTGCATCATATTCATTAAATTAAAACTTTATTCAAAACAAGTATCTATGAGTATTAAAAAAAGTCTTGCATATTGATTCATTATATATTTCACTTTGCAGAAACAAGGTTACAAGTCCAGATTTCACACATATGATTTCTTACACAACAAATTCATTTTTGGAATGACAATGCAAATACAGGGTGTTTCATATGGAATGGGTTGTATGGTATACAGTTGTTTCATATTAAATAGGATATATGATATATGGCATGAATTTCATAATGAATGGTTCCATAGTTCATATTTTGCATATAAATAAAGTTTCTAAAATTCAAAAATATTCCGGTAACTTAAACTTTCTGGTTAGCTGACTGCCAGATAGTAAGGCTTTTACTCTCCACAGGGTGTTTCAATATTGAATAGACCAAAAAGAAAAGCACAGTACAAATTCTATAATTGATTTATTAAGTCAAAACAAATTAATTTTGAAACTACAATTATACAAGTTTTATCTGGCAACAGTGAAAAACTTCCAGTTATGAAATTGCTGCTAGAGGCACTGTTAATCAAAATGGTGCCATCTATGCAGGAGAAAGCATACTGTGTTTTGGAATATGCCAAAACATCATTGTTTATCATCATTTAAAAACACTGTCCCCCAAAATCAAAGTGTTGTGCGAGCTCCAAATTTAATGTGCCTCATGTAATGGTGTGGCATGTATTTACAGAAATACCTACAGTTCCACCCATATACCTTTTAGATGGTGTAGGTGTTAAAAACCATCTGACAAACCATTTCTGCATGAATTTGCAAGACAAGCTGCAGGTAGACGGTTTCTTGAATAGAATTGTGTTTGTGGATGAAGCTACTTTTCACATTTCTGGCAAAGTTAATTGCCATAATTTACAATTTTGGGGCATGGAAAATCCACATGGAACATAAGTGCAATTCTCTAAAGGTGAATATTTTCTGTTCCATTTCTAACAGCTGGGATTTGGGTCCTATTTTCTTCCTAGAAAGAACAATTAATGAGTGAATTTACAAAGATATGCTATCAGAATGGGTGTTCTCTCAATTGGAGAAAGCAGTTCCAGTTTTCATTCTGCAGCAAGATGGTGCTTCACCACGTTGGCACAAAAATGAATGCCTGAATGATAGGCTATTCCATGACTGGATTGGCAGTGCTGGTCAAACAATATGCCACTGCTTTGTTGGCCACTGAGATACCCAGATCTAAATTCATGTGATTTTTTCCTATGGGGTTTTGTTAAAAACAAAGTGTTTGTACTTCCATTTTCCCAGGACTTACAGCAACTGAAGTGCTCAAATAATTAACAATGGATATTCTGTTATGAGTGTGATGGAATATAGCATAGATATTTGTGGTGTCACTGGCAGGGCACACATAGAACATCTATAAAAACTATAGTTTCACTGTAAATTTGACTTATAAAAGACTGGCATCAAACCTTCACTACAATTAAAGACTGACCAATTCATACTAAATTCCCATTTCAGACATTTAATAAAAAAATAGGTGACATTTCTGATTATTTTCTATTGTTAGTTATAAACTATTCTAAAATATTCTACACATTAATTGAGATCAGACTTAGGAATTGCTAAAATAAAATGTTTTTAAAGGTCTTAATAACAATAATAATAAAACACCACAACTGCTTTTAAAAGTTGCATATCAATTCAATTGAATTTTTCTTTATAAGTTTATCTAAGGATAGAAACAAATTTTCTTACCTTCTTGCTTATCAAAATCACAAGGATCCTCTTCTTCATCTCCTGACAAAGCATTAGAAGACACAGATTCATATTCAGTTACATGGGATGTGATTTGATTAGTTAAAAGGATCTGTTAAATTAAAATTTTAAAAATTAACAAATATTGTAGCTTAATACATATTTTCATGAAATATACAGTATGACTTTTTAAAAACAATCTTCCTCAGTTCCACATAATATTGGTCTTAAAGAAGTGATGTTCAAATTTATTCATATTTTAAGAAGTGATCATTTTTAAAAGGCGACTGTTATGAGAGAGTTCACTGTAATTACTTCAATTAGCTATTATTAAATATTCTGGGATACAAAAAAGCATTTGAATGCAGTGATTTAAATTTTATTTATTGAGCCAAACTAACATTTTGAATGAAGCATGAGTATTAATTATTAAAAATTGTTAACTGGCATAAAATAGAACATCTGATTTAGCATATCCGAAGAAGGATTCAATTCATCCCACACAATTCAATTAATAATTAAAATAACTGTACTAAGTACACTAATAAGGTTAAAAAGCACCAAGCACTCACCATTGATGTTTCCTGTAGCAATGCTATTAAGAGATACAGCAGTGCTTCTTTTACTATTATTATAGCTGAACAGTAGTTTGTTCATTACATTCTGATACAACTAAGATTTTGTTTCTGTACCCTAGGTAATATGATGAATCACTGATCA